AGAGGTGGGTGGAGCGGGGCAGAGCCGGGCCGGAGGGGGCGAGGTGTGGCGTCCCGCCGAGGGGCCCGGGAGGAAAAGCAGAACGAGCGGAGTCTCGCAGTCGGCAGGTCAGCCCCTAGCGTTCCTAGGACTGCCCGTCCCGGGACTGCGGTAGGGCCCGGGCCCAGGGGTGGTCCCCCGCACCGCCGCGCCCCCAGGGCGGCTGCAGGGAGGCGCGTCTCGAAAACCGAAAACCAAAAACCGAGGGGCAGCCCGCGAACCCGCGCCCACCTGTCTGCTCTCTGTTCCCTGCCGCCGGGCCCGGGAGCCCGCGCTGAACGCAGCCTTAGACAGACCGACGCCGGGCAGCGCCTTGCCGTCCTGGGCAGCTCCCGCCCGGGTGTCATTCCCCGCTCGCACCCCGAGGCTGGGGTGAGAAGCAGAAGCCCAGCGCCCTGCCCTGGGCTGCCCACCCTCGAGCGCGGGCGGCTCAACAAGCCGGGAGGGGGCTGACTCGGCACCCTCCCAAACTCGAGCGCCGGCCCAGGGGGGCAGCCCAAGAAGGGCAGAAATGCAGGGCCGAAATCCCTCCCAGACTGGGCTGCAGGCCCTCTGCCCTCACCACTCCGCGCCCTAGGTCTGGAAATGGGAGAGGCCGCGCTGACCCGAGGATGCTGCAGGCCCAGGCCGGGAGTAACAGGCTGCGCCCTCCAGCCCAGGGCACCTACACACGCTCTAGAATGAAGGAGCTTGGCGTGGGGCGTGTGTGTGCGTGTGCGTGTGTGTGTGTGCGTGTGGGGGGGATTCTTTCTGAGAGCAAACTGGCTCGTCTGTGGGAGTTTTCCAGTCCCTACCGCCTGGAAGTGCCGGCAGGCTCAGATGTGTTAAGATGTGCGAAGTCTGGGAACCAGCAGTTAGCATAATGGCTATGTCGCTGGACTCCCACGTAGTCGACCGTGGTTTGTGTCCCGGACCCGGTGGCTTAAAACTCACGCCGGGCGCGTGTGCGTGCATGCCCAAGATCCCGAGAGGAGAATGGAGGAGAAGGGATTGCGGCGTGACCATCCCCCCTGGGGGTGATTTCTCGCTTTCTGTCTCTATGTCTCTGTCTGTCTGTCTGGCGAGTGCACGCGCCCTACAGTGAAAATCTCTCAAAAAAAAAAAAAAAAAAAAAGATGTGCGAAGCCTTTAAACATCGGCCTTGCACACAGTGAGCACTCCGTAGTGCTGCTTTTTACTGTATTAATTCCTTCCGTGAGAGACAGGCAGCAGTTCACACACTGTGCCCCACCCCAGTCCCAGCTGGCCCAGATCACAGGCCTGGGCCCTGCGAGCCCAGGGAGGACCCCGGACCTGCGAGCCCAGGGAGGCCCCCGGACAGGCAGCCGCCGCCGTGACCATGCGGGCCAGTTGTTACTGCCGTGCCACTGCCAGGCCCCTCGTGCCCCTCTTCCTTCCTTATTTTATTGTCGGAGGGCATGTGTACTTGCCAGAGACAGAGATAGGCAGAGGGAGGGGCGAATCACCCTAGTGGGGTGCTGCCATGCCACACCCCTTCTCCATTTCTCCATCACATCAGGGCTTTGGGCAAGCACACACACATGGTATATCCCCCAGCTGCCGGGACCAGGACTCAAACCTGTCAGCCATGTGGGATCTGGCTCCCTTAACCACTGGGCCACAGGGCCAGCCATTCTTATTCTGGAAAGGCTACCTTGTGCCAGGGAGCCAGGAGTTCGAGGCACGTGGTTACCTGAGGCTTGGTCTTTACAGAGCTGTGATAGAGTGGGGGCCCAGTTCTCAACGGGTGCAGAAGAGGCCCCTGCAACCCAGTGGAGGGGTTACAAAGGCTCCCCGGGGGCAATGCGATGAAAAGGGGGCTGGAAGGGCTGGAAGGGGAGCCTAGGCAGCGGGACTAGCCCATGCTAGGACCTTGAGGCAAAGAGCGTTCCAGCAGCTGCAGGAGTTGGGTCTGGATCTGAACGGTGAGACCGAGGGCCTGTGCCAGGACACCATGCCGGAAAGGCAGGCGGTGGCCCGGGCGTGCAGGGCCTGTGGGTAGTGGTAGGAGAGGGGGCAGTGCTGTCACCACAAACCAGCGAGTGGGCCAGCTGGTCAGCAGATCACGTTGCTGCTCACACGTGGCTGGACGAGAGGCACTCCCGTCACTCCCGTCACTCCCGTCACTCCCATTCCAGTGCGGAAGTGAGCCACAGAGCAACGACGCCACTTGTTCAAGTGCTGGCGGTCGGGTCTCCCTGACTCCACCCCTTACACCCCTGGTTCTCAGACGTAAGGCAGCACCAGTCACGTGCGGAATCTGTGAACACGCCAGCACACGGCCCGCATGGCATGGTGAAGGCGCTGGACTCCCACACGGCCGACCACCGTTGGAGTCCCGTACCTAATAGCGCGGGCGAGTGTGCGTGCATGCCCAGAAGCCCAGAGGGAGAATGAAGGGACTGCAGCACGGCCATCCCCCGGGAGTGATTTCTCACTTTCCCTCCCTCTCCCTGTCTCTCTTCAGCAACTGTTCATACCCTCTGACAACACCAAAAAGAAAAGAAAAAAGAAAAGCCAGTACACCGCACTAGGCCCACCCCTGAGTCCCTGACCCTGCAGGTGGAGGGCCAGGCCCGAGAATTTGCCTTTCTAACAGATTTCCCAGTGAGGCTGCTGCTGGGTGAAGCCCACGCGTGGAGAGAGACTGCGCTGTCCCATCCTGCTTCTCCATGAGTGGCCTCATCTGGGAATGCAAAGAGCGCAGCTTAGGTCTCCGGGTTGCCATGAAGGAAAACGGAGGAAAGGGGGCTTTGCGGGGTAAGGGACTGACCCGAAAGGTCAGGACAGCTGTTTCCTCCCACCCTGACCTTTGCTGTCCCTCCAGGCCTCGATGACTGCCTGCAGGACTATCCCTTTGAGGAGTGGCAGCTGCCTGGCAAGTACCTGCTCCAGCTCTGTCCCCGCAGCCTCGAGGCGCTGACCGTGTGGCCGCTGGGCCATCAGGAGCTCATCCTGGATGGGGTGGAACAGCTCCGGGCCCTGGTGCGTGGACCCCAGCCACACTGGCTGCAGCTCCCCCAGCCTGGGCTTGCCGGTGTGGGGCTGGCTGCTGCAGGGTGCTGCTGACCTACCCCCTTTCTGACATAGAGCTCCGGGCTTCAGACAGAGAACCTGCAGAGCCTGACAGAGGGGCTGCTGGCGGGGACCCAGGCCTTTCAGAGCTTGGTCCAGGGCCGCCTGGGGGACGGCACCGAGACCCCGGCCGACACCCTCAGCGCGGCCGTGGAGCTGGTGCGTCAGGCACGCACTCTCCTCTTTTGGCTCAACAGGTACTTGGTTGGGGTGACTGGTGAGGGGACTCCTCTTGTCCTTGGCCTCCTCCAGAGCCTGGGAGAAAAAGTGAGCCTGGTCCTTGTTCATATGTGGCGGTACAGGGGCACCTGGGTGTCCAGCCTGCCTCCCAATGTACAGCCATGACAGTCTGTCAACAGCCACCACATGGACAACTTCCCACCCTGCTCGCCGGCTGCTGCTTGTCCTGCAGGACTCACCTCAAATGTCACCTCCTCAGGGAAGCCCTCCTTATTACACACTCTCAGAGTTACTACATGTCAGAGCACTCCTACAGTCAAACAGGCCTGGCATGTAGCAGGTGCATGCAGTAAGCTCTGTGTCACCACCTAAGCTCTGTGTCACCCTTTACTGCAAACCAAAACCCATCAGAGCAGTACTGTCACCAAGACTCGGATGAGTGATTAACTCCAGGTGAGGAGGCACAGTCCCCTAACCATTGCTCCACCCTTCCTTGGCTAGGTACCTCTTCTCCCACGTAAACGACTTCTCGGCCTGCCAGGAGATCGGAGAGCTGTGCAGGGAGCTGGGCCAGGCCTTGCAGGAGGTAGGAGAACCAGGGCCCTGGCTTGGCCCGTGCCCTAGAGACCAAAGCGGCTGGAGCTTTTTATAACCTGTGAATCAGCCCAGGATCGGATGTGAGGGCTGGGCCGAGCGAGGGCAGAAGGGAGAGGAGGCCCAGCCACTAGGTGCCGGGGCCGGGGGGCTCTCCTGGCTGGAAGGGAAGCTCTGGGAGTTGGACTCTCGGGTGGAGGTAGGGGCATGTGTGGTGACTTCCGGGGGCCTGGTATTGGGGGAGAGACCTTGGGACTGAACGCTGAGGCCCTATAGTTCAGAGCAGGGCCAGCAGAGGCCGGCAGGAGGGGCAGCCCACAGTCTCGCTGCCCCAGGGGAAGGCAGCCCCCTACCACCCCTACTCAGAGGAGGCCCCACTCACCCATTCTGTTCCAGGACTGCTACGCAGAGGAGGCCCCGCTCACCCATTCTGTTCCAGGACTGCCCTGCGGCCGAGAAGGAGGGCCGAGTCCTGAGGATCGTGAGTCTGCGGGGGTTGGGGGGGTGGGCTGGGGCGGGGCGGAGCC